CATGGCTGAGAAGTTCTTTGTCAAATTAACTGATCTCAAATAGTAAATATAAATATATTATTATTGGTGCTTTCCATCGTGCATTCAGATTTCATGTCGAAAAACTATTTATTTTATACATAATGCAACAACTGTGACTCTTACAGACCTTAGATAAAATGGCCGACAAGATCACGTTCTTATATAAAAAACCATGAGACTTGTTTTTTCCCTCTCAAGTATTGGTCCATTCTATATCGTCATCACGTTCAGTGTTCCTCGTACACATGTTACCATGGTGTTTGGAACAGTGGCTGCGATAGCTGGAAATAATAGAAAAGTACTTGAATGAGCCAAAGAGTCTTGTGGATCTTGCTGGTAATGAGGTCTCGGCAGCCATTTTTATCTCAGGTCTATTGTGCTGATGTAATCAGATGTCACATGTGATGCCCAGGATTACATGTACCGTCATCACTTATAGTTAATTGATGTGCTGTTATATTTCCCATTAATTTTATTTTATTTGTAGTTATAGATTGAGACTAGATTGTATGTTGATGAGAGCAGAATTTGTTATCAACGTGAATTCCACTAAGCCAGCATTACATACAATTATTGATGCATGTAAATGTAAGTTGGTCATTTTAAATATCTTTTGTATTTCATTACAACTCTTGTATTTTTTGTAGACAAACTGTCTTGTCTTTAAACTTGCTGGAAGGATTAACCATTACGGGTAGTTGGTGCATGGCATTTTGATTTGTAAATTTGAATCTTGATGGCTGACAGGCAACCATTTGGACACAGTAAAAAGTAGATAGATTTTCTTTTGATCCTAAATTGAGAATGGAAAATAAATAATCATGCATACAAAAGATGAAGTTAATGTTGCGATTAAGAAAACCAAATCAGCATAATCCCTATGTCTGGATTCTATCTATCATTAATGAAATGTGCATATACTTGTCACTTATAGTTGTATTCAAATTTTAGTCAACTGAGCATGTTACTGCACATATATGCAATGCATTATGGGAGAAAACCTCCAATATAATGAAAAACCATTATTACTTGTGGAAACTGACACTAAATTATATATCAACTTTTTGAAATGTTTTCATAACAGGATTCATGTCGATAATAATATGACTTTTTTCATCCTATGTCATCGAGCAAAAGATATGAAAAAATAGTGGAAGGTACAGATAAATACCAACAAAACAAAAATCTTTATTTTCAATGAACTGGGTAAATCAATCGATTAGTGAATTGTATTTATGAAGTAATCAAATTACAATAATTCAATTATTTACATAACCAAGGGATTATATTTCAGAACAGCTGCAAATTTAAGTCAGCCATTGAAAATCTTGTTATGAAAGCACATAGTGCATTATGAGGTAGACACTCAATCTGCATTTACAGTTTCTTCATGAGACACCATACAATTGTTCACAAGTACAGTCTGGCCAATTCAGAAGTATGGGAATCCTTCACTTTTAAACAGATACAATCAAAACCAAATATTTCTTGGAAAATACAAAACGATATATTAACACATTCAATTTTGTAAAGGACGACGTCAAAAGATCGATGTCGGATAAAAAACTTATTTCCTTTAGTTTGGGGGGGGTTTGACCTCAAAAAGTTTCCATCCTATAAAAAAGATTTTATTTTTTAATGAAGTCAAAAAAATCTTGGAGTATTTGTAGTTCGTTTTTTTCTATCCAATCATGGACAGAAATAACCGAAAAGGGAAAAAAAACAGAAAAATGGTTTGGTTCGAGTGTAAATTTGCGCGTCAAATGAGGTGCATTTGTAAAAGTCTTTTTACACCCACCCGACAACCAACTGCTATGCAATACTACTGTTCGATTATCAATTTGTATTTAATGGTGAATGTAGTCTGACGCCATGACCAATATTTATCAATTAAGTTTCAGTGGGGGGTAGGGGGGGTTTGGAAAAAAATTAAAGGAATTAAGTTTTTTATCCGACATCGATCTTTTGACGTCGTCCCTAAATGAATTCTTTCAGAAAATATATATAAGAAGAATGTAGCAGTTCATTTGTCAATGTTTAACCTTTAACCTTTACACCACCAGTTCCCTGTTTACAAAACACATTCACAAAATATGCGTGTTTATATTCTGCACTTTCCTTCAGATTTGGACAAAAATAACTAGATTTTTTGAGTAAAAACTAAAAATTGACTCAAGTTTTGTCAGTTGGCTCTAAAATTAGGGTTAACTTTCAGAAATATTCAAAAAAAATAAGAAATCAAAGAAAGCTTAGAAAGAACTCCCGTGTGCTGAGAGTTTTCGAGACACATTAAAAATTAATTCAAAATTACTTATACTTGAGATATTGATGGAATAGCTGAAAACTAATTATGCAAATAAGGTAACTAATATGAACAGATTTAGGTGTAAAACTAATAAGGTCTGCACAATGTACCAAGTTTCATTGGAATGTGATTAGAACCAAAAAAATATTAAT